GCTTTGGAAAGAAGACAATGCTCTGTGTTTGGTGGGATCAGAAGGGTGTAATCTATTATGAGCTGCTAAAACCTGGTGAAACCGTTAACACTGATCGCTACCAACAGCAAATGATCGATTTAAATCGAGCATTGCGTGAAAAACGACCGGAATATGGAAAAAGGCAACACAAAGTCATTTTGCTCCATGATAATGCCCCATCACACACAGCAAAACGGGTCAGGGAAACGATCGAGGCGTTCAGTTGGGAAATACTAACGCATGCGGCTTATTCTCTAGACTTGGCTCCGTCCGATTATCATCTATTCGCATCAATGGGACACGCTCTCGCTGAACAACGCTTCAATTCGTATGAAAATGTACGAAAATGGCTCGGTAGCTGGTTCACTTCAAAAGAAGAAATGTTTTTTTGGCGTGGCATTCATGAACTGCTTGAAAGGTGGGAAAAATGTATAAATAGCAATGGACATTATTTTGAATAAAATATTTTTTATCATTTTCACACAACAGACGTGTAATTTTTACAAAAAAATTCCGGTTTCATACTTCTACACCTGGTATACATTACAGTTATAACGTGTACGCGAGAACCCATTGACGCAATTCCATTCCCTAGGTTTATAATGACATCGAAAATTTCCATTTAGGCGCGTCATTTCTGAATATTTATGCATTATGATTGCTGAATTTGAAGCACCGTTGTCGATTAACTGAACAATCAGCAGTCACGATTCACGAACATTCGGACATAATGTGCCCGATTGGACATTTTCAACGTCACTATGTATCTGGGGAGTGTGTGTAGCATTGGTGAGAGCATTAGTGCGCTAGAAAAAAATGCTACCGTTCAAGTAATGTTTATTTGATCCAAGTAAAATGGTCCCCAAGTAAAATCCTGCGTCCAATAGGAGAATTTGGTATTCAGTAATTCTTAAGAGAGACATTTTCCTTTTGGACACGAGATACGTCGTGAAATTCATCGGAAAATAAATGTTGCGAACTTTTCGCGACTGATCGCAACAACAACCTACCGAATGAAATAAAGCTTTAGAAGAATTGCTGGCGCAACCCGTTTCGGAAAAGTATCGAGAAAAATGTGCTAACAACCTACTTGTGGAATGAACTATACGACGATGTGTAGTACGTTAAAAAACTTACAGAATTAGTCTGTCGAACGCTCTCGCATTATTCGCTAATTGTACGCTAATTAGTCTTCGCGTGGGCCGTAATTACATCGACTTATCGGCGGGGCGCATTTTCAGATTCGTGCCGCGCGTAGGACCGGGTTTGCCGGTGGACCAAAATAATCCCGACCCGGGCATGGACATGGAGCGGGCGAGCGACGCATTCATCAAGGTGCCGCTGATCCTGGGCGTCTCCACGACCGAGTCGAACCTCGATTTCAACGCCAACGACATTCAGTTCGGTTTCGAGGAGGATCACCGGAACCGTATTCTGCGCACCTTCATCCGCAACGCCTACGTCTACCATCTGAACGAGATCTTCTCGGCGGTGAGGAACGAGTACACGGACTGGGATAAGCCGGTGCTTCATCCCATCATAATAAGGGACTCGACGATGGAGGCGTTGAGCGATGGCCACACGGTAGCGCCGCTCATGAGAATCGCCTTCTATCACGCGAGAAGGGGCGCCAAGACGTACTTCTATCACTTCAATCATCAGTCCAAGGACAGCGGTTATCTGCAGGTGGGTGGTACGCCCGACCCGTCGACCCGTAGTAATCTCGATTTCCCTCGTGGTACAAATTGTTCCATCCGCGTCGTACGTCTTGAAAACTCGACGTGACGAGGATTCCCCTCTCTCTCGCGACGAGTCGTGAAAATTCAATGTCGGGGGATCGCGATTTTACTCATAAATAGCGAGCCTCCAAAGCGCGTGAATTTTTAATGACCCAGGGGTGCAAGCGGAGAGGGTGTGAAAAGTTTTTCACGAGAGAAAATTTCGTATACACCGAGAAAAAATTTTCGTAGCTATAATCGCATAAGTGAAAGAATTACAGTCAGGAGGACCATTTTGCTATTAAGTGTCACTATAGTGTCGGTGATAATAATATCTTGCATGCATATTGCTATTATAGGAGATGGTAGTATTATGGCCCTTGTAGATATTATGGGCCCCATTAATATCGTCTCTAGGTAACAAAATATTTATGGAATCATTTGTTTAGTAGCTCATCGTTACGCAGTGTTACGCCAATACATGGCCGGCATTTGTTATCTTTATTCTCGAACATTTCGAAACATTTTCAAAATATGTAAAATGGGAGACCATAATACCACGTACTCTACCATTTTTTCCGGTTGAAACCAGAAGAAGATATAGTTGAGGCCGAAAGTTATTATAATTTTCGTGGAATTTCCCTCGGTGTGCACATGAAAAATAAAACTAGTCAATTTAGCGTCTTCATCGACGCACGGAAGCATCTCGTCGATGCTTTCCCGGGCTATTCCGTATTCCAAAACGGCGTATCTCTGCTCCTCACTTCCGCCGTCCTAACGACGTAAGGCGGAGAGGGTGAGCGGTAGGTGTAGGACGCTCCTTAAGTCCGGGTTAACTCCATTAACTTGACGTCCCGAAGAGAGACTAACGTTCGCCCTCGACACCTAGTTCGCCGGCACCCTCAGTTAAGGTAGCAACCGTTCAACCCCTTCTTGACATACACACACTCTCTCTCTCTCTCTCGATATCCCATCTATCTCACTCTAGCTCCGGTCGATCTATACCCGTTGGTAACCGCTGGCCATGACTTCACGATAAAGACACTGATTTAATAAAACGCCCGGAACAGCCCGTGGCTCGCGTTTTGTCCCGACGATGATGAAGATTTGTCAAGCTTGACGTAACAATATCGAAAGGACAAGAAAGAAATTGTTATATCGGGCAATTTGTAAGGTAGCTGCCGGCGTTACCTGCCGCTAAGCCCGCCACTCGGAAACAGATTGACATTTTCAATTTCTCCGCTCCGGAAAAGGTTCGCCCGAAAAAAAGGGGGGCTCGACAAAATTTCACGTCGCCAGTAATATCGAAAGAGTAAAATAAAAGTTGAATCTCTCCAAGGGGGAGAGGAGGGTAATTCACGCTGGACGAGTAGAGTCGAGCGGATTGGAGCGGACCCGAGCGGGCGTAAACGCGAGGAAAATATCTGACCGACGTTCAGAAATAGACGTGGCAAGTTAGCGTTAGTAATGCCCATCACGTCGACTCCGAAAGTCGCTTAATCCCAACTCGGCGAACGCGCGCGATTCACGGCGATTCAGGACGCTCCAAGCCGCGGGTCCACCGCGTGTGCGCAAAACGAAATTTAATTAAGCGCCCGGAGTGAAAGATTTCACCTTTAATAAGTTCATATTCGCTCTTTCTCTCTTTCTCTCTCGCTCGTTCGCTTGCTCTCGCGCGAGTAACTCTACTGTCGTCCCGGTTATTATTGCAATCAAAACGTCGTCGTTACTCGCGCGAGTTTACCAGAGCCGCTCCGGGAAGATGTAGGGGGTGGGTGCGAAGTGAACGAAGGAGGATGGGAAAAATACAGCAAGAGGAGGAGGAGGAGAAGGAATTAGACGAAACAAAGGGAGAGAAAGTCGCGCTAAGAGGAGATAAGAAAGCGATATCAAGAATGCTCAATGCAAATGCGATGAATTTATTTGAATTGTTAAACGCGTCATTTCAGATCTCTTCGTGCATTCTTTCCTTCCTTCCACCTCGCGTCGCACGCGTGCCGTTAATGGGGGAGTCAGGGGCGGAGGAGGGGGTAACACAAAGTGCCATTTCGCGTGTGCAATGACGCGGAATTTCGCCGACGTTTACGGATGCACCGACTGGAGAGCTTCGAAATAAGGAACCGGTTCGTTTTAATGAGACATTCGCAAGTCGAACTTAGAATCTTATATATAAAGTAGAGAAGCGACACTTCACGTTCGATATACAGGGGTGTATTCCACCGACAAACTTACAGGATAGATTCTGCGTAGAAAAGTAAGTAAAATGTTTTAGACACGTGCTGTTATAAAAATTATTCAAAATGTCTACCTCCCTTATCAACGAGCACGATTTACATCTGTGGAGTAAAAAGCGCGCGTACACATTCAAATGTTGCTTCATTATTTCTAACGCTATTACATACCTATTGGATTCTTAAATAATTAAAAGCAGTTCATCCAGCTCATTTACAAAAATATCAAAATTAATTATCTTTGAAAACAGGTAAAAATATTTTATATTAGTGCTCTTAACCCGTTTTTCACGATAGATTTTTTTTCTTTCATCGTTGTCATCTTCTGAAGGCTACATCTCAAATATCAAGCTTTTGCGAACATATATTTAGTTAGACTTTTTTCTTACTTATCTCTCACCATAGAATCTATCCTGTAAATTTATCGATAGAATTTAGATGCACATTATATATCGAAAGTCGGCTATCTTTTATCTGCGGCAATATTTAGAGTAAGCAAGTAAGGAAGTGAGAGAAGGAAAATGGGTAAAATAGAAAAGTCAGATCGCAAAAGGTTGAATAATCTCAATAATTAGTCCAAGTAAGAATATTTTCCCCACAATTTGTACTTAAGAGGGCGGTTCAATAAGTACCCGTGTTAGAAATGAAGACACCATTTTTTCAAAAAAATTTTTTTTATTTTTCAACATAGTCCCCTTTTAGAAAGATACACTTCTCCCAACGTTCCTGCCATTTTTTTAACCCCTCCAAAAGATAGAATTTGTCGAACTCTCCAAAATACGCCTCTGTCTCGGCGATGACTTCCTCGTTTGAGCTAAATTTTTTTCCCGCGAGCCATTTCTTCATGTTAGGGAACAAGAAAAAGTCGCAGGGAGCTAGATCGGGTGAATACAGGGGGTGCGGCAGCAATTCATAACGCAATTCATGCAGTTTGGCGGCGACAACTCCGGATGAATGTGCTTTCCACCGTGAGCAATCGCGGCACCCATCGGGCCGACAATTTTTTCATTGACAACTTATTATGTAAAATATTAATTACCGTTCCGGTCGACACACCTACGGCCTTTGCTACTTCGCGCACTTTCGTTCATCGATCAGCGAGAATCATGTCGTGGACTTTTTGAATGATTTCCTCGGTAACCACGTCTGCCGGGCGTCCTGGTCGCTCCTCATCAAAAACGGATGTTCGCCCACGTTTAAATTCGTTGAACCAATATCTAACTGTGGTCATAGATGGCGAAGTGTCCCCATAAACAGCATCCAACTTTGCTTTTATCTCCTCGCATTTTTTCCCATCCAAAATCAAAAAGCGAATTACCGAACGATACTGCTCTTTTTCCATCTTAGCGAAAATCACGAAACACGTCTTACTCGAATGGCTGCCAAATCCAAACTAACCTATCAATCAGTCTGCAATTTGTTTTGCCGTCGTTTGATAGATGACAGCACACGATGATAACACCAACTTCCCTCAGGAACGCCCTCTGTCGTCTAACACGGGTACTTATTGAACCGCCCTCGTACACCGAGAAAGAAAGTGGTAGAATTAACGAGATTTTGTTTAAACGAACGAAATGTTTTCAAGCACAACGTTTAGTTCAAATTATACATACAGTTGCCGTAATGAATTGTCAATTGATTCGATGATTGCGATTTGGTCGGCAAGTACATCAACGCAGCGTATTACTGCGTTAATTCGTTCAGTGGAACAATATTTGTCTTAATGAGAGTGACCGCAGATTTGTCGATCCAACTACTTTTTTTTTTCAGCGTATGTAACTCGGTACATCAAAATATGTTGTAACTAACTTGTAAAAAAGGAGTTTTTTATTATCATGATATACTAAAATTCTAATAGGAATAGTATAACTTACCGATGTGATCGGTCGCAAAAAGAGGTTGCAACATTTTTTTCTACCGAGTTTCGCAAGGCATCTTGTGTCCGATAGGAAAATATATTTTCCAAGGATTACTAGAAAATCAATTCTCCCATTGGACACAGGATTCGAAACTAATAAGAAGAAAATGTTGTTTCTTGTGACTGCCATGTATCATACGCTCTTAGTCGCAGTCGCTAAGAAGAAATGGCGCCTCCGTCACGTGGCTCGGACAACCGAACAAACCGATCCTATTCAACATCGCTTCTCTGTTTACATCTAGAACTCCAATCGATCCGACGCGATACGACAATACGATAAGAAAATAAATAATTTAAGGCTCCATCGAATATCCAAAAATAATTAAGTAAAACGCCAATAAGAGCCGGTGCATGGATTTTACTGTGCAATAAAAGTTAATTAATTTGATTAATAATTTGCCAATAAGAGCACGGGTTCTCATTGTCCCCTTTTACTTAGTTAATAATTACTATTACAAATTGCAAATGACGGGAATTGCGAGTCCGCTCGCAAATATCGACGACGACCATTTTTCCCTTGCACTACCTTGATACCCCGTCGAGTTGAATTTCTTCCCCCTCTGTCATCGTGATCGTCGTCAATTAAGAAACGCGACATTAGAACGACTTCTCGAGCGGAAAATCTCATTGCAGCGACTGGGGAGCGTGCGTGGCGAGGACATACCGTACATTTTCGGGCTGCCGTTGGTGGCAGGCGGGGCTTTCTTCCCGCGGAATTATTCCCGACAAGATCAGGGCGTTGCGGAGGCCGTCCTCACCTTCTTCACCAATTTCGCCAAGACCGGCAACCCGAACGAGCCGCACAAGATCGAATCGGTCGACTACGGCACACCGAAGGAGAAGACGCGATTCCGCGGTCTCACGTGGGAACAATACGAGACAGGCTCTCAGCAGTATCTCACGATAGGTATGTCGTTAAGGATGACGGGTTATTATTTTTCGGCAAATTAAATTTCGCCGGATTTCTATTTCCCCGTCTTTCTCTCCTCCTCCTCCTCCCCTTCCCGTCTCTCTTTCTGTTTTTGTCGAATAATGCGACCTTTTTAAATTCCCTCGGAACTTATCTCGCAAGTTTGATTGTGTTTATTCTGGACTTCGCCCGATCTTCCGCGCTTTGATGCGCCGTTCGGAAAGTTTCTTTCCTAAAACTTTAATTGCACGCAACGCGAGATCCCATCTTTTCCTCGCGCTTGCGGACGAAGCGTGTCGAAATTATTCGTCACGACGAAGAGCCGTGAATGCTCGAAGGAATATATCGATACGCTCGATAAGCGCCGATTTATTTGGCGATTAGTCACCGTCGTTCATAACGTCGCGATATATATTTGCGCCTGCTCGAGCACGCCTGTGCGATTAATTATTAGCACGACTCGCGTCTTAATCGTCGTACGTTCGTTTCAGCGTTGAAGCCCAAAATGAAGAGCCACTATCGCGGCCACAAAATGGCGGTGTGGCTTAATCTGATACCGCAGCTGCATCGTCCCGGCGACGACGACGTTTCCATGCGGCATCACCACTTCAGGGAACGCGGTGACCACTATTACGCAGGTAATTCGCCCTTCGAGCGAGAAGGAACGAACGAGTTTCGATCACTTCCCCCCGCTCAATTAACCCTTTGAATCCTGCTATCCTGCTGTAAGCCAAATGTGAACGATTCATTAGCCTTTGAAACACCGGAACATAAAGCCCCCGCGTCACAAAATACGCGTTACTTCTTGATCTTAGTGTTTTGAATGATACGAAATAATCTGCAAAGGTATAAAATTTCAATAGGTAACATTTGTCACTTGGAAATTCGAGCTATATTGAGAGAAAAAATATCTAAGAAATGAAAAATATTCATCTCCAGTGAGTATTAATAATATATTTAGAGAAGAGAAATGCCCTTCCTCTATTTGCATTTTGCGTAACACTCTGTCGACAATCAATATTTTGAATTGAGAACTGGTCGATGACGTTCATCAAAATATTGTTCGATCGATTCTAAACCTAAGATTACGAAGTATTTATTACTTAGGAAGTCATTTATAAAAATGTAATGACATCGTATAGTGGATTGAGAAAGAAACATGATGGTAACAATATAGCTCCCACAACAGAATTGATTTCGCTTAAAATAACAGAAAGTGTTTTGTTACAAAATCATACATGTATTCAACATAAATTCTTCGAAGGAATAACAATGAGCATAAGCGTGAATTTTTCAAGCAGATATTGATTTACTTGTATCAGAAGATGCAATTCGGAAGAAAAGCAGCGCAATGTAGACGGAAGCGTGAACTGTAGATTAAAATCGACTTATCGAATAATTGCTTTATTCACAAGACTAATTCTTTTTTCCATCCGCACACTGTGAAAACGACAGAAATATCGCGTGATACGCGTAAGTCGGACTAAAAGTCATTAGCGCGTACGGCAATTCATCTCCGCCGACTCTCCTTGATCAATGTGTCAATGAATTAATTAATTAATCTCCCGATTAATCTCTCTCTCTCTCTCACTGGCCGCATTCGTCCAGGCCCGGTGCGAGACGAATGGTACACGCCGCTGCCGCTGACAGGCACGACCCGGACGAGCGCATCCTCGACCACCGCTTGCAGCACGTCGACGGGCGACGAGAGCCTCGCCGAGGACATCACGCCGATCCTGGACGACTCCGAGGACGACGCCGAGCTGCTGCAGCGGCTGGCCTCGCGCCACTACTACAGCACCACAACTGCCCTGGCGATCACCGTCGGCGTCGGTTGCGTCCTCCTTGTGCTGAACATGCTGATCTTCGCCGGGATCTATTACCAACGGGACCGGGACAAGAAACGCGCCGCCATGGACTGCAGGCCGAACGGCCAGGAATCATTACCGCTGACCACCAGGTCGTCCATCAAGTCAGCGGAGAACCCGAAACCGGCGCAGGAACCCCCGCCGTCGTACACGACCTTGGCGAGGAGCCCGTCGCTCCAGGAGCAGCAGCAGCAGTTCGCGCAGGAGGTTCAGGACAACGGCGAGCAGTCGCGGAAAGAGATGCGCCACGGGACCACCATCCACAAGGACCCGGTGCCGCCGAAGCCGCCCGCTCGCACCACCAGCTCACTCAGCACCTCCAACACCACCAACACCATCAAGAAGCGCGTGCAGATACAAGAGATATCCGTATAGCATTAGGGGTTGCCCCCGGAGGGCAACAACTCGCGGACGAAGCGGGTGACCTTCGTGGACGCGCGGGCCACCGCCGAGTCCAGGTTCTGATCGCGACGGTCAGCTGGAATTTTCGGTCCGGCGCGGGACTTCCTCCGCGAGGTGCGTCGTGTATCGCACGAACTGACGAGTCGACCTGATGACGACGGAACGCTGACGCAGCAGCCGCTCGCTAGCGAGAACGATAGTCTACGGTAGGTGCAGCAAGTCTTTCGCTCTCAGCGAAACGGAATGTAACGTAACAAAAGCGCTGTGATAACGCTTAACCTAAGTTGGCAGCACCCTAAGGCTCGCGTTGCATCCCCTTTGTCTGACGAGGTCAGAAGCGAGGAAGGGGTGCAAAATTCCTGCGAAATACGTTGAAATGAAAATATCTGTCCGTAAAACGACTGCGGTCGATCGCATGCAGATTTGTAAGACAATTAAGAAAAACTTCCCTTTTAATTTCATTTATTCATTCATTCCCGCTTAACGTGAAGAAGAAGACCTTTTGGTATCAGGACGGAGGAGAAGTTACACGAAAGAATACAAAATATAAAAACTAAGACGTCCTAAAACGTTTCAAGAACGTCTTTGAGACGTCTTTTAGACATAATAGACTCTTACTTCAATGTTTTCCGCAAGAATTTTCGGGCGTGCGTTTCCTCGCTTCTGACGTCATTAATCAAGATAGCTGCGGCGAGCAGACGGGAGCCTTAGGAACTGCGACGTCTGGTAACACCGGTGACGTTTTTGAAATTACGTTACAATTCAGAGCAAAAGGCTTTGCTGCAACTATTGTAGATACGGACTTGACGCGCAGCACAGCGCCGGCCATGTGGCTGACCGTAACGCGTCCACGCCACTGGTCTGAACTGCCGAGCCGGCTTACCGTGTCCGACCGTTACTACTTAAGAGACATTGTGGATGGTTCTTTCTACCGATAAAAACGTAAGATTGCACGTGACTGTTGCCGCTGATCCAAGACGTGGATTGTACGTAGTCGTTACTTATAAGATCGTCGGTTTTCGGGGAGGGGGGACTCATACGTTAATAAAACACGCTACACCGGACGTGTTCGAGATGCCTCCCTATTCTTCATTCGGGGATCATTATTGCGGGGACATATCGAAGGTATCGATGCTGCGGCGTCTCTCAGCCGTTTCATCCGCCGCTGCTACAGTTCTCTTGTGAGGACGGCGGAAAATTGGTGGCCTTAAGTATTGTTACGGCACGTGAAGAAGAAAAGAGGGAAGAGAAGAGGCATCTCGATTCGTCTTCGACGGCGCGAAGAAAGGCGCACAGTGGGACGAGTTTGCTATTTCTTTTTGCTTTTTCTTCAATATTCAATATCTCCGTAAATAGATTTTGACAATGGGTATAATGAACATTGATGTGTGCTAAAATAATATCTTTTTTGGTTTACTTTCGATAGAATGAATCTTATATCTTGATAACATGTAACGTTTAATAACGCAAAATTTTCAGTTTCCTCTTTTCTTCAGAGAATTTCATTATTTAAAATCAAATACCTCTGGTAAAAAGAATATGTAACATATATAATATTAGCGTATTATGAAATCTTACTTTTAACCCAGTGAGACAGCAAAAAATTATTAATGGAAAACTTTTGCAACGATATTTAATAACTTGTAACATTTTTTTAATACACAACCTTGTATCAACGTCATTACGATAACTTCAGCACTTCGATATTTCTAAAACACTTTTACAATATTCGATCTATCATGTTATTTGGTAATGTTTTTGAAATATTTTTAGAATATCAATTAAAAGCGTTCAAGAGATACGCAAAATCAACATTTCAAGATGTTGATTTAACGTTCTTTGTTTACTGGGAATCTAACAAGAGATTTAAAGCATTTGGTTACCTTGGGAACATTGGCATTTTATGGTAAAATTATCGTCTAATAATCTATAATATGTACTCTTCCGAGATTATTCCATTTCAAGTGGTTTTAGTAAGTTCCGAAAACTGTATTTTAATGTGTAANTATATATATATATATATATATATATATATATATATATATATTAATGTATAATTTGAAATATTAAACATCCGGATATATTCAATCGCGGATTGAAAACATGTAATATGCGCGAAAAGAACATACACGTTCACGTTTACGTACCAATACGAGATGAACGCGCTTATTATCATTTCAAAGCGCGATATGAGAATTCCGGTCATTCATAATTTAAGAAGTACGTTCGGTTATTTTTCGCATCGGTCTCACAAATTCCGAATGTTGGAAGTCTCCGTCCCACCGTGCGGCAAGGGGTGAGGGAGGGAAGGGGACGATCGGGACGAGCGCGGTGCACGAATGAGAGAAGAAGTCTCGGGGGTTCGAGAACACTCCGGCCGGAGCGACGACCGCGTCCGTGCAAGAATACCGTCATTGCATGATTAGCCTCGACGACGAAACCCTCGAAACAAGAATACCGGGTTTATGTACGTGCGCACTCCCACGCTGACACCCATACAACGTACAATCGGTAAGCATCCCGTGGGCGCTTTGTGAAGCATCGATCGGAAGGAAGAGACACTCGACGGGAACGGATCAAACGGATCGTCGCGATAAGTGGCCCGAAGTTCGGGCAAAACGATCGGCACGAACGAGAGGGTTCTCTCTCCCTCTCTCTCTCTCTCTCTCGCAAGTGGCACCGTGCCACTTGTCCCCTCCGTAAGACTACGACACGCGGGAGCGAGCGCGCGGCTGTGCTCGAAGCGGCAACTTTTAGCGTATTCCGCTCGAAGAGGACAGTAGCTCAATAGCAGCGTCCGCGTTCCTTCGACGCTCGTTCGGGCGAAAAGTGCGATTCTCCGACTGGGAGAGCTCGTGCTTTCTCTCTCTCTCTCTCTCTCTCTCTCTCTGTACGTCTCTCTCGCCCTGAAGCTGCGAGACCTGAGACGAAAACGCGGCATGGAAGACTTCTTGAAAGCACCGACCTCCGTCAAGTGTTCCGCCTCCAAGTGTTCTTCTCGTAGGCGGTGGTCCGACGCGGCTGGCACGACGCTCCGGAGATGATCGCTCATTCGTGAGAGAGTTACCCGCGCCGGCCTTCCTTCAGCTTCCGATTGGCGTGTCCTCCTGTGTGTAATTTTCACAGACAAGAAAAGTCGGTTCTCGCGACTAAACGGGGACCGGATGGGAACTCGGCGGCGAGAAATGATGCCTCTGGTACCGCGAACGTTCGTGTGGATATTCGGCCGCGGTAGTACTCGGTAGAGACACGCATGATCGAGAGCAATTGATTGAATCAATTAATCTCTTACAGAGGGATTTTTCTATTTCTATGGGGGGAAAGAATTAGTACCAATTCGAGACTCATTTTCATATATAAACAAGAATATATAATCTTATAAAGATAAAACTTGCTCTTGACATGAAGAAATTTTATAAAATATAAAGAAAAATATATTCTTGTCATTCAAGAATAATTTTTATGTATCGACAGGAAAAAAAATATTGGACAGGAAGAAGGATATCTTCAAACTAGGAATAATAATAATAATAACAATCAGGGCTAGAAATTATATTCGAAACTTCGAATTTCTGAATACTTTTGACATATTGTAGCCGAATAATAAAATTTTGAAATGTGAAAATTCGAATATTCGAATATTTGAATATTCGAAGCTTCAAGAACTCGAAAATACAATTAGACAAAATATAAATTTCACAACTGAACCAGAGATATTTATCTAAACAAGACGTCTAAAAGACGTATTTACGACGTTTTTACTACGTTTTAATATTATCCGAGTTAAACTGACACTCTCTAATTGCACAGAATTTTGTTGTATTCTCCAAAATGAATTCTGTTTTAACAGCCTCGAATCTTCGAACCGAGTTTGAAGCTTCGAACATATACAAATATTACTACTCTTAATAACAACTATTGGTCCTGAAAAACTGATAAGAATAATATCATGAAAATAAATAAATTAATAAATAAAATCAATATGGAGTAGAGAATCAATAAGTGAGGCAGACGGCTGATAAGACTGTCTTACCTGCACCTAATTGATTACAAATAAATAAGAAAGCAACAAGAAACATAATTATCAATCGACACCGTTACCTCCGGCAGAGATATAATTTTCAGTGGCAGAACGAAGCACGAAAAGTTAGGATGCAAAATGAGCGGAGGAAGGCAAAGCATTGTAATGTTTCAAGGCTGTAAAAGAGAAGGTGGCACGAAACTTTGCAGTGCGATGCTGACGAAACGCTAATTAACTTACATCAGTTGCATCGGTTTGAAGATATCGTTTCTTTTTACATCCAATATTTTTCCTCAATCAATTCACAAAAATTATTCTCGAATAACAAAAATATGATATTTTTAATAGAACTAATATAGATATAATTATATAGAATTTCTTCAAGTAAGAGCAAGTTTTATCTTCAGATAAGTATCGTATACTCACACATGAGTGTATTTGTCTTGAATTGATTGACGGATTTTTCTTTCGCGTACAACCGAGTTCTCGTCTAGTCCCCGGACATAAAAACGGAAAATTCAGTTACCCCAACGGAATTGTTTCTGCACACGAAATCGTATACGATATAATGTGCGAGTATAATCGAGGCGTCGGTGTTGAGAGAGACGCGGGTATGTCGACCAGAGCGCACTGCTGCATCCACTGCTGCCCGAGACGCTGCCGAATTACTTATTTCGCACGAAGCCTTCCTCTGTCTTCGTGAGCACCGCGGCAGTTTTCTAAACTGTACGCCAAACTTTACTCGCGCGGGAAGAAGACTCATCGGTGTATCGACGCGAGTCTGGATGGAGAGTTATAGGATGGCGGATTTCCATTGACTCTTCCAGGCGAAGAAGCTCACGAACGATGCACGGATGAGTCCGCTACCTGCGAACCGAATATCTGCTCAAAGAAAGAAAAAAAAAGAAGAAAGCGCGTAACGATAAGACTCGAAGAGAACGTAATTTCCCTTCAAGTAGAATTTAAGCCAACGAAGACTCGCGGCTATAGCGACTCTCTCTCTCTCTCTCTCTCTCTCTTCCACGACCAAGTATCCTAAGGCGTGATTGCACTCGTGTTTGCGGAGATACATTTTGTCTTTGTAGCGCTCCTTAATCCCGAATTAATATTCATGACCCGGCATCGCGCGCTCCCGCCAGACTCCGCGCCGGATATTAAGTTTCGAGGAGTCATCGGTTGCCGTGTGCGGCTGAGATGCCCTCCTCCTCGAGATCTCACGGAGCCGCGATATATCGCGATATTATCGAGCGAGGCCGGGTCATGCGCGCCGAGAGCGGGAGATCACGAGACGCGTGAGATGGAGACATTTTTACGAAGAAGCGAAAGTTGCCAAAAGAAGAGAGAGGCTCTTCGTACGTACATCTCGTTTGTACTCCTCGCGATGATTCTCACTTTGCGGCCATGCGGTCCCTGAGATTCATTCGCGCGGTGATGCTCACGAGAGAACGGAATTTTTTTAATGATCGTCAGTGGCTACCTCACGCGAAGACTTTTCTCTCCAGCCTACAGGAATGCGTCTCGAAAGTGAGTTCCTCGGAAGGATCACACGAGAACTTTCCGAATGGCCGAGACGGTCTAAAAGTAATATGATTCGATTAGAGACCGATTATCACCGTACGGCTCAGAGACGCGTGAGAGAGATTATACATATGTACCAATAAATGATTAAGAGAGCGTGAAAAGCTGTAAGTAAGGTACCACAGCGTAGCATTAATATACACAGACTCAGTGTGTTGCGTAAAACTCTCTCTCGTCAAGCGAAGTCGATTGTCGGACTTCGATAGCTCCTTAAGTGCGTAACGTTCTTACGTGTGATTTTTTCAAAGGTAATCGCTCGCGCGACGGCGCGTTGTGATACTTGCGTGAACGAATATTATATCGGCGCGATGTATACGCGCAACGACGGCAGTGAAATACGTGTTAGCGTTTAGAAAACCAATTTGTAAATTTCACTGTATACAACAATAAACGCCCGTTTATAAAATACACACGCCTTTTCTTGTCGTTCCGCCCGCTATTCCCGTGGGGAAGGGAAGTACGGAAGAAAAATTTGTGTAAAATGACAATGAAAATTGGTAACGCGAAAAGCAAATGAAACATTAGGTAGTAAAAAGAAACAAGTTATTTAAAGATATTAACTTCTTACTAATTACTTTTTTCTCAATGTACCTTCATAAAATATATTTCAGCTCAATTTATAATACTATATATCATAATATTCTCATTGTTAGTAATATGTTTAATATGTTCGAAACAATGATGATATATCTTCCAAATGTGTTTCCACTTATTTCCTTCTTGACGTTTGTCTTCCAAAAGATAAATATTTGTGCCGTTCAATAACGTTTTCAAGAACTATCGTGTCATGTGCTGGAAACTATGATGAAACAAAAATTATATTATCAGGACGATTGATGCATTTTAATACACCAACATATAATTGATAAATTGCTAAATTATTTTAAATATCACAAACATTACCGCTACTGCAAGTTTTTGCGATTCTCCATGATTAAAAAAAAAAATTAGAGCTTGTCCTTGTGCAACCGCAATCTGTGATCAAAGTTCTTTTATTCTAATATATGAGGATAATCCAAAGTGAAGCTGATCACTTTCAATATCTATTGCTACCTAATGTTAGTCATATCAATTCTTGATGACAATGTTATGAGTAGTTTCAGACATTGCAGTATCAGGACATAATTTTTCTCAAGTATCTCTTATTTCATCTTTTAATTCTGAGTTTTCCATAATGTCCATGTTATATTGTTTACGATGCTTATTTATTTATTTATCTCTGTCTCCCAGGTAAAGCATTTTAGGTAAGTTAACAAAGTTGTCACTGTCTCTTATTAGGTTATCTTCTGTTAATATACTAACGTATTATACGTGTGTAGTTTGCAGACAGTTTTGTGCTTTTCACGGTTTTCACGAAGCAGTTAGAATCTCAGACACA